TGAGTCAGGGTCTCACTATGTAGTTGAGACTGACCTGGAACTCACTTTGCAGCCCAGGCTGGTCTCAAACTCACAGCGATCCTCCTGCCTCAGCCTCCCAAGTCTCTTATCTCTTTGTCAAATAAGAAACCAACAGGCAAAAGAAACCAAAACTTCAAATTCTAAGACAATCTAAAATTCTTGGACTATTCCACTAGCATGAAAAAATTTCTGTTAACAAAGGCATAAGAAAAGATTGAAAAATTAGAAATGAAAGTGTTCACAGATCTGAAGTCTAGAGACCACTAACTAGGATCAGAGCACTGAGAGCTTTGTAGTTCAGCTCTTCTCCGCTGATTCCATGAGATGCCCCATGGCCACAGATGTTTCCACTGCAGCTAATATTCATTATTCTTTTTTAAAAACCATTTTTTCTAGAGCCTCATTTATCTGTTTGTTTTATTTATTTATTTTTTACTTCCTGTGCTATTGGTTCAGGGTGTCCTGATGGTTGACTGTCAGACTTTTCCACCTTATTTCCCCCAGTTTACCTTTGGTGGGGTAGAAGTCTGTGTTTGTGTCTTATTTAAATGACTTCTCATTTCTATTTTTATCATTGGTCCTGTCCTTGGTTTAACTCCTGAGTTAATACTTCAGTATTCCAGCTATAGCTGGTCTTCCGGTTTTGAGTCTCTAATGTCTCTGAGGCAAACTCTTTTTCATTATACCAGGGAGGACAACTGATTAGGTCAATCACAGCACCTTAGCCCAAGTGATACAATCAACAACACAATAGCATCAAGCACCGCTTAGAAAATGATAATTTGTGGTAGTTATTAATCTATCACCTTTAACCATGTGAATGAAATCAAAATCAAGGAAATCAGCGCAAAATATGCTTATAGTGAATAAACTCTTCAACATAGCAACTTAACGCTTCAGGTTGGGGGTTTAGAAGGAGTTGGGGAGGTAGGGATAGACAGAGAAGATAGAGAAAGGTTAGAAGTGTGGTCAGAGGACACAGGAAGATCACACAAGCTCTAGGGAGCTGTTGAAGAGAAGAGGAGAAGACGGAACAAAATATTCCCAAGAACAGAACAAACTAACACCAATAGGGAGGCTAGAGACTGTAATCACTTAAAAAAACAAAAAAAGAACTAATGGCAATTGAAAGAAGGAAAAAGAGAAGAAAAGGAAAAGAAAGAAAATAAATTTGAATTAGGATAGGAACAGGAACAAAAAGGGAGGGAAATGGAGATCAAAGTGGGAGAGAGAGAGTCAGAGAGAGAGAGAAAAGAAGATAAGAAAAAGAAAAGAAAAAGAAAAAATTGAGAAAAGAAAAAGAAAAAATTTTAAATGATTAAAGATAAGAGAAAAATATTACCTTTTCTATGTATGTATGTATGTATTTATTTATTTATTTATTTTTTGTTTTTTTGAGACAGGGTCTCACTATGTAGTTGAGACTGATCTGGAACTCACTAGTAGCTGGTCTCAAACTCACAGCGATCCTCCTGCCTCAGTATCCCGAGTGCTGGGATTACAGGTGTGCACTACCACGACTGGCTGAAAAATATTACTTTGAAAACAAAAAATACAAATAGAATTAGAATGTCTCCTGCATGGTATGCCTCTGTTGACACAATAGACAGCCTGGGCAGGAGAGTGCAGGTCTAAGTTAATTCGTCTCAGCAGGCCAGCAGCTGTCCCGGAAGTTTAGGCTGATTTCTGTCTGCAAGGCTCAAATTGAACTCCCTGACCTCCTGCTAGGTTGAGCTCTGCAAGGTTCTACTGCAGATTCCAGCTGTCTTTCCCCTGAAGTTAGACCAAGTTCTGAGGTGCTAGTCTCCCGACTTACCAAGTATTGTGGTGTGGTGTGCCTTTATTGCAGAGGTTTTCTTCACTTTCTCAGTGGGCTTCGGTTTTCATACAGGAGCCTCAGAGAGGCCTTCTTTCTCTTATCTGCAGGGGCATGGGGGCACGGACGCCGCTGTGTTGGTGCGGGAGAGGTTGGGCTCCTCTGCTGTGCTGGGCCAAGGGGCAGGCCTCCAGCATTCATCATTCTTCAGCTGGCCCAAGTCCCCACCATCTCATCCTGTGTGGCTGCGCTAGTTCCCACCATTGCTGTTTCCGTGCCTACCCCTGCAACATGTCTTCTACTCAGCAGTCACATGAAGACTGTTGAAACACAGGTCAAATCTCACCACGCTGCTCAAATCAACAGTTCTCCATTTCACCTGGAGTAGGAATCAAAGGCTTTGATTACAAAGCTCTTTATCAATGGCCCTCAACCCTAGGAAGCTCAACACAGTCCTTTTAATAATAAATAATTTGTGATACCTCCATTTCTCGCCTAAAACCCAAATTGTAACCCCGGCGAAATGACACACCCTTCTAATTTCAGCTACTCAGGATGCTGGAGGCAGGAGGATTGCAAATTTGAGGCCAGCCTGGGCAACTTAGCGAGACCCTATCTCAAAATATAATAATTAAAAAGGGCTGGGGATTTAGCTCAGTGGGAGGCCCTCCACTGAAGTCCCAGTACTGCCAAAAAATTTAAATTTGTACATAATGTAACCCACAAAGCACATTTTTAATAAATAAAAAATGTCAGGCTGCAACATAAAGAGGAAAATAATGTATGTTAAAATAGCTATTTCAATGTGTATATACTCAAGAATGACTATGTGAGAAGAATCAAAATCATGTTTTATTGATTTTTTTCTAGAAGACATTTTGAAAACTCTTGTAACCTTTTGCACATTTTAAAATTGATATTTAAAATTTGCCACAAAATTGCAACCATGGAGTGGGACCAAGAGACAGATACAGATGGGGAGAAGAAGTAAAAAGAATCACAGTGTATTATATACACATGATGGATATGATCATTCTGTACTACAGACATGCACTCATAAAAATAAAAGATTAAAAAAACAAAGGCTGTAATTTCCAGTATAATATCAGTGTTGACATTTTAAAATAGAGCTAATAGATTAAAACTTGAAATAGTGTATATCCAGAAGAAGCTTTTTTATATAGACAGAAATTTTATATCCTAGTCTTTTTCTCCTTGAACCGGTATTTCCATTACACTTTTACTCTGAATTAAATACTAAGGTTATAACATGTATTTTGTTTTCATTATTTTCTGGACTTTTTTTTTCCCTGCAGAGCTGAGGATCAAACCCAGGGTGTCACACAAGGGCTCTGCCACAGAACTACACCTCCAGCCTTTGTCTTATATTGTCCTTTTGCATTTTTATGCAACAAAATAACCTACCTGAATCCTGTCTTAAAATTTAATTTTTTTCTGTAACCATAACTTTTTAACCGTTATATTACAGTTGTTAGTAGCTATCCCAAACAATATTATATTGATTTCAAATTTTGAGGAATAGCTGACATACAGTGGCTTTTTTTATAATAATATACTCAAATAAGAGGGACTTTTTTCACATATTGTACAAATCCATGCATAAATATTACTGCTTGCTAGACTGAGACAGGTCTTTATTGGAATTTCTATTTTTCATTTTACAAATGAAAGCCCTCAGGAACTTCATTCACATAGATTAGTTGAAAATTTTTATGCCTATATTATTCATTTTAAATAATAATGCCTCACATATTTTTTCCAGATTTAAATTCCCCCAAATCAGATAGCAGATCTCAGACGACACATCAACTAGCCACATTTGCAAAAGAAATTGGTCACTGAGTCTTTGTTGTTGTTGTTGTTTGTTTTTTTGAGACAGGGTCTCACTATGTAGTTGAGACTGACCTGGAACTCACTGTGTAGCCCAGGCTGATCTCAAACTCACAGCAATCCTCCTGCCTCAGCCTCCCAAGTGCTGGGATTACAGGCTTGCGCCACCACACCTAGGAGTTACTGAGTCTTGAGTCATTTGTTTTCTCAAGGACATTTGACCTGTCACTTTTCTGGGTGTTGCAGAGAGTTTCAGAGTCCAGGGCAAGGCCAGTGAGACGGGGGTGAGGGCTTTTGAGGAGGTTTGCCCTTCCTCCCTAAATGCCAGCGGGCCAGTTGTGAAGCTGGATTTTAGGGAGGAGCATGTAGAAGTTGGAGCTCAGGAAATGGATTGCCTTCAGATTACTCTGGCCTGCACACCTTCAGAAAGGCTTTGGAGACTTAGGGCATCCCTCACACACCATGGAAGACCACAAAAAGCCCTGTAAATTTCCAAAAACGCCTCTAGGGGACATTGTTCCCTGAAGAATCACTAATCATTGCCCTGTTCTTGCTTCAATTTTCCCCTTATCTATTTAGTCACAAACCTGATCCTAGGTTCCAAGCAGGCCCTACCTCAGAACCTCCCCTCTACCAGAGGTGTTTCCCTCAAATACAGGCAAGATTCTGGCCCTCACTTTGTTCTATCTCTGCTCAGCCCCTTCTCCACCCACCTTGTACGAGATGGCAACCACCTTATTACCATTTAATCAACAAATGTTTATTGTGTTTCCACTATATCATAGGCATTGGAGATATATTAGTGAAAAAAAGGGAGGCAGATATTTCTGTCTTCATATTGCTTAAAATCTAGTGGAAGAGGAATAAAAAACATGAATAACAAAACAGAAAACTACACACTGTGTTAAAAGGTGAGAAGTGCTCCTGGGGAACTAAGTTCAGCTGAAGGGAACTGAGGTGGTCAGAGGTAGTGTGCAGATGGACAGGGGAAGGCGCTGGTTTGCATGAGGTGGTCAGGGTATCCCTCACTGCGCAGATGACTGTCTTGGTCGGTTTGGCCTGCTGTAACAAATGCTGTAGAACATGGGGCTTAAACAACAGAAATTTATTTATTTATTTTTTGGTACCAGGGATCGAACTCGGGTCCTTGCGCTTGCGAGGCAGGCGGCGGAACCACTGAGCTAAATCCCCAGCCCAGAAATTTATTTTTTTAATAGTTCCAGAGTCTGAAAGTCTGAGATTAGGACTCCAGCATGGTAACATTCTGGTGAGGGACTTCTCCCTGGAGTTTGGTTAACAGCCTTCTCACCTTATCCTCACATGTTTGTGTTGGAGGGCGAGTTCTGTAGTGTCTCTAAGGAAGGCAACAATATCATCCTAAGGGCCCCGACCTCATGACCTCACCTAAGCCTAATCAGCTCCCCAAAGTCCCATCTCCCGATGTCACACATAGGAGGTTAGGGCTTCAACATACAAAGTTGAGGGGACACAGTTCAGACCACAGAATGACAACTGAGCAAACACGAGGAGGGGCAAGTCCTGGGAATACTGCAAAGGACATCTGAGGCAGCGGGGACAGTGAGAGCAAAGACCCTGAGGTAGGAGTGATCCCAGGGCACCCGAGCAGGAAGAAGACCTGCATAGCTTCAGCAGGTGAGCAAGGAGGACAGTAGTTGAGGGGTCCAGAAGGTCAGAGGGAGGGGCAGATCTGATAGAGCTTTAATTCATTGTAAGAACTTGGCTTTAATATGAGAGGCCACTGGGAAGTTTCTGAGAGGTCTCCGACTAGAGAAGAGGGTTCCTGCAAGATGGGAAGGACCAGAATCCAGGGGAAAATGGGGGGGCTGGTTTCAGGTAGGGTCCCAGATGGGCTGACTGAGAAAGACTGAAAAGAAAGTTTGGAGTTCTAATCATCCCATTCTCCACATCTTCAAGACTCGATTCTAGAAAAAAAAAAATAACTGCCTAGTTTATCATTGCTTTAGTTTGTTTTCTGTTACTGCAACAGAATATCTGAGACTGGGTGGCTGAAGGAATAAAGGTTTATTTTACTTTGGCACACAGTTCTCTAGGCTGGGTGATCTAAGAGCTTAGCAGTGGCATCTGGCAAGGGCGTCGTAAAATATGGTGGAAGGAGAAAGGGCAAAGAAGCAGGTGCAAAAGAGAGAGAAAAAGGCTTTACTTTGTATCGGCTGGCTTTTGCTATAACTAATCTAGATCCAAGAGAGCAAGAACACACTCCTAAGAGAGTAACCCGATCATCTCGTGAGAACAGCATAAACCCTCACAATCCTAGCACTTCTTAGGGTTCCCACCACTGGTCAACACCTTCACACTGGGAATCGAGTTCAGCATGAGTTTCAGACCAGACAAACCATGTTCACACCACACCGGTCAGGGTACCAGCGGACCCTGACACTGGGTTTTTCTTGCTTTCAGATCCAGGCGTGGTGGCGTGGAATCATGGTACGCAAAGGATTGGGGAAGTTTGAGGAACTGCAGAAAGCACGAAGGAAAGGAAAGACCTCCCCAAAAGATAAGAAAGGAAAGAAGAATGGAAAAGGAAAACCTGGAAAGGGAAATAAGAAATAATTCTATGCATTAATGAGTTGAAGAAATGAACCCTACTAGATTAAGAAGGCAAAATATCTATGAATAAGATTCCTTCCACATGCTCTTCACAGAATGACGGTCCTTTAATTTCTTTCATTTTTCTCATTTTTATTTTTTACTAGTACATGTTCACATTAGATAATGTTTGCATTCCTCGTGACAAGTTGGTACACGTGCAGAACTCATTTCAATTCTTTTTTTCATCCTTTCTCCCTTCCCTCCATCCTTCCATCTCTTGATCCTCTTCCAATTTGAACAAAATCTTTCTACTTCCTATTATTTGCCCTTTTTCTTTCTTTCTTTCTTTCTTTCTTTCTTTCTTTCTTTCTTTCTTTCTTCCTTTCTTTCGGTACCAGGGATCAAACTCAGGACCTTGCGAGGCAAGCAGCAGAACCACTGAGCTAAATCCCCAGCCCTTGCCCTTTATTTATAATTTGGATTTCTCTTATAAGAGAAACCATGTGTTATTTAAGCTCGTGAGTCTGATTTATTTCACTTCACATTATGGTCTCAAGGCACACATTGATCCTTCTGTGTGGCAGCGTAGCACTACCTTGTGTATAAATACCACATTGTCTTCACCCATTCATCTGCTGATGGACGTATAGGCTGCTTCGGAGACTTAGCTATTATGATGCTGCTATAAACACGGGTATTCGTATATCAACATAGTATTGATGTTAACTCTCCTGGGAAGATGCTGTGCCTAGAAAGGGAATATCTGGGTGAAATAGAATTTCTAGTTATATTATCTTTAATAATAAAAGATTCTTTATTGAAATATTTATGAATAAAATTATATGCCATCTGGGCATCCTTCGAAATAATATGGGAGAGTAGTAAGGAATAGAGGTACAAATGAATAAGATTGTCCGGAAATTGACAATTGTAGAGGAAGGTGAGAGGGTAATTATGCTATTCTGCCTACTTTAGATAAAGCTGCCATGAACATCCTTGCATAG